GCCCAGAAGCGGCACAAGAGCAAAGCGATGTACTTTGTTTCGGAGCGAGCATTGGTGTACAGGGAAAGGAAATACAGGGGACACTAGGTGCCATTGTTAAAAACGGTAGCACGTTTTATGCACTCTCCTGTGATCATGTAATGAACTCGGAGGAGTCAAGGCGTATTATTCATCCTGGACTCCTTGACCATCTAAACTGTCTGAAATATTACTTAGGACAGTATAAATGTGCGGTAAATGATATAACTGGCTTGGAAACCCAGTGGTCTGTTGAAACCCTTACATCGAATGAGGAACTGTTAAGTAAATTTGAAGAGCTTAAGTCCATAAAAGAAAATCACCGCGGAGGTTACGCCAACAGGTACAACAGGAAGATAATTGAAAAGACTGAGGGAATTTTTGAAGGAAGGGTGGAGCCAAGGGTGATTGGAGAGTACATAGATGGTGTGAGTGGCAATGTAAAATGGACTGATGGTAAGGAATACTATGTCGATGCTGCCATTGCAGTGTTGTTTACGGAGGAAGTAGAAAGTTTAAAAGAAAGTCGGTGGGCTAGAATGTTTGGAACACACATCAAGCCGGGCAGTGAATGCAGTTCCGCAAACCATCAAGCCTTATTAAGCGCCCATAAACTTTGTAAGAGTGGGCGAACAACGGGATATACCGAGATAAACAGCGAACTCTTTGGATCTATCGAGGCGCCGTTTTATCTGAAACCTCCATTGCATGAGCTACAAACTCCATTCCTCGCTTGTTTATCGAGAAAATACTCTTGTAAAAATTGTAGTGGAAGTCAAGAGGATCTTGTTGTTGAAGAACCCCGTCGCTGTAAAGAGTGCGATCAGATCGAAGCCAGGCTGTGCGAGAAGCTTTGGTTTAAAAGGTAATACGGATAATGACGATGATGATGATGATGATGATGATGACGACGATGATGATAGTAATAATAATATTAATAATATTGTTTTATTATTCATTTGAAATAATTTTTAGTTTACCTCCATCGATGTAGAGTTCATCTTCAAATGCCTGTTTATCGACAAGTTAGGAGATAAAGGGTTTTTCAGTACTGCAAATATTCTGCAAACAGCGGATGTCGTCCGTCGAGTTGTCTTCTTGCTGTTCTTGTTATGCTATTATGTAGCCAATAGTTCGCCTATTTCCTGCTTGTGAAACGAGTAAAGCTGAAACAATTCAACCCCGTCCTCAGGTCGTCTCCGTTAATTAGTCTCGCTTGCGTAAGCAGCGACACTCATAATCTGCAAGCCGTTGTTTTTTCTTCATCTCTTTGTAGTACACAAACCGACGGTTGTGGTCCCAGGCGTTCCTCTGGCGGAGAACGTGGAAACTGTGAACAAGGATCGTTGCGTGACCGAAGCCATGCATGTTTTGCGAAGAAAGCTTAGGTTTAGAGATTTTTCAGAACGGGTCTGTCTACGAATTCTATCGCTTGAAGCGTTGATTACTTTGAAACAAGTGAACACTTCGGTAGTCGAAAACAAAACTGGTTTAATTAATTAATAATAATAATAATAATAATAATAATAATAATAATAATAACAATAATAACATAATAATAATAATTTTCAACCGCTTACATTGTTTATTCCACTTCGAAGATCATGTTCACTTGTACATTAATTAAGAATTTATATCACGCAGTTTTCATTGAGTGGTGATCAACTGCGCATTACCTATTAGATTTGTAGAATAAAAAAACTGACTAAATAATACCCGTACGAAACCTGCGTCCCTCGTGCAGCGCTGCAACAGCGACTTATAGTCGTTGCAATTCTGCATGACAACTGCACTGCAAGCGCTGCCGGAGTTTCGAAAAATGACTGCGTGAAAGACGTGAACGCTGCCGGAGTAATGACAGATGACTGTGTGAATCATGCATAAGCTGCGCACGCTTTTGGGACGGTCGATTACGTAGTGATTATGCAACGAAAGAAAATATTGGCTGTAAAAACTAATTGCGGCTTGAGAAATCGGACTCGGTTTGAGACCATAGGAGAAGTTGTCATGGTTTTACAGTGGTATTATCTTAAAACTAGACTAGCCAGCGAGTAACAGATTACAACAAGGCAAGCACAACACACATGTTACAGGTCGCAAATGAAGGTCACTGCTCTTTTAAGAAATAACTGAGATAAGCAGTTTCCTACTAGTGTTGTTTATTTACCTTAGCAAGTTGACCTATAATCAAACCTGCACTTGTGACCTGTGATCTGTGATCTGCGTTTTGTACCTCGCTGCCGGATCATAACACGACAATACTTAAGCTTATACTACTACATGAGAAATTTCTGCAATCTGATTGGCTTAGAGCAGTGGTATTTCAGCTTAATTTGAAATACGTACGTGTGAAAATTACAAACCTTTTGCGGGTAGTAGTATAAACAAATAATAGCATGATTTGTACGTGATATTTGGCATAAATACCACTCGTGATATTTCAAAATTGTCTCAATTACGTATAACAATTTCGAAACATCACTTGCGGTATTTATGCCAAACATCACTACAAATCATGCTATTACCTAGGCTCGATTACCAGCCGCTGTTCGGGAAAATGAGCCCGGACCCGGGAGACGGCGGAAATCGAGCCTAGCTATTACCTACACGAATACAAACTACAAATTTCCCTTTTACTCTACATTTTCTAAAAGGTGCTTAAGCATCCGACAACAAGGAGCAACGCCATTCGCAAACTTTGAAGATTCTGGATCGGTGATCTTCGAAAAGACAGATGAAAACCAGCACTTAGGACTTGGCCTTGTTTTTGGTATACTAGAGAATCAATATCATCGCTATACTATGGCAGCACCTTTACAAATTGTTCTAGAAGCTTTAAACGACAAACTCCCAGATGGCAGCCGTTTGGAACTAGTTTCAAATTACACTGAGTGAGGCTCTATTTTGAGTGCCATGCGTTCAGTGATTGTTAATCTAATTCAAAGGACAGAGGAAAATGGAAATAAGTTCAAGAGAGCAAGATCTAAGATGATCTAACACATGTGGATCCATTTAGGGACCATTCATTGCTTATCAGGTAGGGGGCACTTTTGGGATTTAAGGGGGGGGGGGGGATCATGCCAATAAAAGGCTTTTTGACGGTATCTGTAATCATGCAAAAAGTCTACCAAAATGCCAAAACCCAGCGTTTCTGACGTTCATAAACAAATTCAGATTTCCCCTGGGTTCCCCCTACCTTACTGCGTACCAAAAATCAATTTTACATTTTATGTACTCAACGAAGTGCAAAAAACTTTCCAAATCGACAGTCTGCTCTTTCTCTCCCTCTCTGTGTTTTTTTTTTTGGGGGGGGGAGGGGTCGTCTCAAATATTTTAGGCTACAAAGGGGGTGGGAGCACCCGACAAATTTCTGATTAAGAGAGAGTCATCATAGAGAGCTACCCATCAAATCCCACCAGCCTCCCCTTCCCCATAAATGAACGGTCCCTTAGAACTTGTTGTTGTTGCTTGTATTACGGTACTAAAAAAAATGCTGTGGTGTTAACCTATGGAGGGAATTTGTTTGTGCAGGGTGAAGAAAAGGCTGAAATTTCCTTTGCAAAGGGTTGTCGTGATCGAACTTGATGCTGTAAATATAATCCTTGGAGCTCGATAGGATAGGGATATTCTTTTCCTTAAGTTAAATACCGTATTTATTCGAATAAGCGCCAAACCTCGAATTACCGTCTACCTCGAATAAGTGCCCATCCTAAATGCAGTAAAAGTTATTAAGCACCCAGCCTCGAATAAGCTCCACCCCCTCCCACTCAAACTCAAATAAGCGCCCACCCCAACGCAGCCCCCTTCCCCGTCCCACCCAAAAAATAATCAAGTGCACGAGAGTAGTATTGCTAATTATTTATTCATTGGCTTACAATCTCTAGATTCATTGTCTACGACAGTGTTGGAATTTTCCACAAGTTTCAACTCCAATTTCCATATGGGAGCAAAGTTCTTTCAGCTGCAATATCTCTTGCTCGACGTTACGATGTTGGACATCGAGGAGGCAGCACCAGGGAATAGACCATTTTACAGTTGTGGACTGAGTACCCTAGCCTTCGAGTGAATGTGAGGCTGAAGGTGACCTGGTTTTGATGCAAACCCCCTTTCCTTTGTTACGGAAAGTGTCCTTGAAAAATACTAGTTAGAATAGGAATAACTCGATTTACGTAAAAAAGTAGGAAGGTTTGTATCGAAACAAGGTCATCGTCAGCCTCGCTTCCATAAGTAACTGTAAAATGACCTCTTCACTTATTGTCTTGAGTGACAATGAGATTGAAATTGAAATTGAATATTATTTCTTCATAGTATTTTAGAGAAAACTTGCTTTGTTACATCTTTCCGTTTTGTTATTTCCATTTATTGTTTTGTTGCAAAGTAAACGTACTACACTTGCCGAAAATGGTGAAAATTTATTAAGCGTCCGCCTCGAATAAGCGCCCCGGGCGGTTAATCGAATAAATACAGTATATATATGGGGATCACTTTGTTATGACTTTAAGTATTTATTGGTTTTTAAATAGTATTGCTTTTATTATAAGAAAGTTAATTGCGTGACGAGATAAAAACCACAAGACCTGTCACGGCCCTTTTTTGGGGGGTTTTAAGATTTTTGAGACCTGAAATGATCGTAACAATTTGCTACTCCACTATTTCCTGGGCTGTGGGGAAGCCATGATTTGAGCTACGCTCGCAGGTTATTTTAGAGCCGGGGGAGGAGTTGAGTAATTCCTAGATTAGCCTGTTCACAGACCCTCTATTTTGTCTTCAGAGATCGTCGCACGCGAATGGAAATAATTTAATTGGCAGTATTTGCGAACGCGGAGGTGCTATTAAATGACAAGGCGTAGACATACGGGAGGGACTTAATAAACCTCTTGTTTTCCCAAAGATGTCTACGGACGTTCCTTTCTTTATTTTTCTCGCGTTTCGCGCTCGTTCTCGCGCTTCGCGCGCGCTGCCGAACTCATGAAAAAAAGAAGAAAAAAAAAAACGAAAAGAAAAATGTCTGTGGACAGGCTATTCAGGTTTAAGATGTAAAGATCCATTTACCTCGCCGTCTGCAATTTTCGTTGTCAACACCGAATTAGGGCAAGTGGTCGGTCAAATAAACACCATGCATTCAGAAAGATTCATGGGCTTGCGCTATTATAGGTATAGGTATAGGTAGTGATCGTTTAGGAGGAAGGAGCTATCTAAAGTCTTATGTATGTCTTTTTAAAAACTGGAAGAGTTTTGTTGGTGTGTTCCAACTCAGAGGTCAAAATTGGTCATGATGATGGTGATGGTGATGATGCTGATGACGATGATGATGTTGATGGTGGTGATAATGATAATGACGCTGAGGATGGTGCTTATGAGGATGATGATGATGAGGGGATGTCGATCACGATGACGATAGTAAATGATGATGATAATGATGATGATGAGGTTTGTTGCTGGAGTCCGACCCAGATGTCAAAATAGATGACAATGACGAGGATGACGATGTTGATGCTGATAATGATGACAAGGATGGTGATGATGATGATGACGATGACGATGATGATGGTGTTGACGATGATGATGCTGATAATGATGACAATGATGATGACGATGACGATGACGATGATGATGATGATGGTGTTGACGATGCTGATGCTGATAATGATGACAATGATGATGACGATGACGATGATGATGGTGTTGACGATGCTGATGCTGATAATGATGACAATGATGATGACGATGACGATGATGATGATGATGATGGTGTTGACGATGCTGATGCTGATGATGATGACAATGATGATGACGATGACGATGATGATGATGATGGTGTTGACGATGCTGATGCTGATAATGATGACAATGATGATGACGATGACGATGATGATGATGATGGTGTTGACGATGATGATGCTGATGCTGATAATGATGACGATGATGACAATGATGATGACGGTAATGACGCTAGTGATGATGCTTATGACGATGATGATGATAATAATGATTAGGAGGATTTTGTTTACAAATTGCCAATTTACTCTCGCCCATGCTTTTGCCGTTCCTCACAAAACCAACTGCTCTTGCCTTCATCTCTCTCCTTCCCTCTCATCTCTACTGCTGATTGGAGATCTCCGTGGTTTGGCTCATACCTCCAAAAGTGGAACGCCTTCTCTGCATCGCCATTCCCAGGTCACTTGTTCCGGAGTGCGATGTCTCTGGTCTCTTTCCCATTGACTTTTTAACGAGTTTCTTAAGCGTTTTTCTCAACTCTCGGTTTGTAAAACAAAACAGGCACGGGTTCACCGCTGAGCAGCTGTACCGCAGAGACAGGGTTACAGGGTACACCGTAAGTGGCACATTTCTGGGTCCAATATACATGCCTACTACTAACACCACCATATGAGGTACCCAGCAAACGAGGAAGGCCCCGACGATGAGTGAAATACGCTTCGCGGCGCGGAAGTTTTTACGAAGTAAATCCGCGCGAGGTCCCATCACTGGAACGACCCGAATAACCCTCTTTGCATGATTTGTAGCGATACGATAGACTATCAAGTTTGAAGAAACCATGATGATAGCGGGAATGAAAAAACTACCAATTGTCATGAAAAGAGTGTAGCTCTCCTGGTTGTCACTTACGCACACACTGCCTTTGATTTCTATCGGCTGTGAACGCCAGCCCATAATTGGCAAAAGTGCGGCGAGAAGTGAATACAGCCACACGCCACCAATTACTCCCGCCGTTGTCTTCGTCGTGGTGAACGCCTCGTATTTAAACGGGTAAGCGATGGCGAAAAACCTCTCCATACTCACAGTACAGAGGTTTAAAGCAACCGCGGAAAGGCCGAGGAGGCTGACTGTTGCTACAAATCGGCAATGGGCGACGGATTGGAAACGAAAGGTACCCATAAGCTGGCTGATGTTGACTGGCATTACCATGGTAACAATTATGGCGTCGGCGACTCCTAGGCTGATGATGAAGAAGTTGCAGATCGTTCTTAGGCGACGATTTAGATAGACGGTCAGTATTATCACGCAATATGCACTCAGAGATATGACGATGATTAAAATATAAAGGGAAATTAAACCTCTGGCGTATGGAGCAGTATACGTAGTTGATGATCGCTTGCCGGCTAGACTAGTAGACAGGTTCGTAGGATGTGTACAATTGGTGGACATGATTTTTGTTGAACTTTGTTCACCCCACGAAAGCGTTCAATCTGCGATCGAGATAAAGAGTGCAATTAATAGGTTTTAATATATGAAGTCATATGGCCTAAAATATCAGATCAGATTAGGCAATTTGCTGCGATATGTTCTTCTAGAACTGCAAATCAATCATCTCCAAAAAAGGACTGCAAAACTATAGCCTCTTTAATTTCTCTTTAAATCGAATTGAGCATAACAAAACCTTAAATACTGTATTTTATAAAAGTGAAAAGGCTTTTCCTCGTTTAACCACCTGTATAGAAAAAAAAAAAACATTCGCTGAAAGGGGATAAATTTGAATTTAAATTTATTCCGCGACGGTCATCAGCCCTTTCGACTTTTCAATGGTGCTAATGAGGAACAAACTCAACAGCTACCCAACACTATCATCTATGCCTTTTCTTTAAATCACGAGAAAAAAAGCCCAAAGATTTTCTATAATAAAGCACATAAAATAATAGAATATTACTAAGCTATCACTTTGTCGCCTCTTAAGTCAAGCGATGTGGGGTATTCACAGTGACGGTGTCAGCAACTTCCCCGCATAAACAAATTAAATGTTTTTACCCGGTAGACATTTTACCTTTACTTTGAAGAGCGAAACCTCGCTTCAGATTCAAATTTAGAACACAAATACACTTTAAGCAGTTTTGGTGTAAACTAACGATATCAAGCAGGTCGCGATCTGGGGAGTTTTGAAAGCCCCCTTCGGATAAGTATATTAAACTACTGCATTCGCACTATGGTCATATAAATTATTAGGATAATTTCTGCAGGAAATCATAATAACTCATTGTTCTTCCTGGCAGGTGAAAGATTGGATAGGATTTCATTTTTTTTTCGATGTTTTTAGTAAGTCTTTGAAAAATCGCTTTTTTTCTAGATTCTACCTTTTTAAAGGTACTTGTTAGTTTTAAGCAAAGTGCTTTGCGTTCACTCTTAAACAGATTCTTGTTTTAATCCTTTTGTGCTAGATTTTAAGTAAGTTTAAACGAAAGGAAACAGCGCAAAGCTTAAACTATATTGTTTTTTTTTTTGGCTGATAAGATATGAAGTTTATATTTCCTTAATATAAAGTTTTACTCATATGTAAAGAAAGTGACATGCTTTTTTTACATGGAACATTCGACTGTAGAAAGCACCAGAGAAGACAAATTTTTATTTTGAGACAAGAAATGAAAGACTCATATTGAACAAAAGATAATCATCTAAGCGACACCCAGTGCTTAATTAGGAAAAAACAGCAGTTACTCATATATTTTACCCTTCGGAGTAGTGTATTTAAAATTGATTGGTTTCCCGTTCACTTTTTTAAAGTAAAGCGAACTTAAGCATCAGCGAAGGTCCCCCCAAAAAACAAGTTGACATACTCAGACGTTTTAAAATATTTTTTTGCATATACAACATCAGCGGCTTTCTCAAAGAGGAACAATTTACAACAATTTTCCTGTTCAATGGAGCAATTACTGGGGTGTTTTGCTCCATTTTTAATTCTTGAGTGCAATGTTTTTGCTTTAGTTTACAATGAACATAAGTTAACATTTTCTGTTTTCCTCCCCGCGGAAGGATCTTATTTCAATTTAAGACAAATTTCTCTTTATTCCAACTCGACTGTGTACTAAGAAAACATTTTTCCAGTTCCGGTTTATTTTATTTTTAATTTTTTCGTCGCCTACTATTTGTTCAATTTAAGTCCAGCTGTCTGTCACCCTAAAACAGCCTCTTATAAGATGCAAAAGGAACATGAACCATGGTCATGTTACATTGTTAGCAATCCGTTTTATGGAAACATTTCATCCTTTGGATTTAACTGTATTACTAGTCAAGAGATTTTGTTATTGCGTGCCTATGCGGAAAAAGCCAAATTCAAACATGTGGTCGATATCTGAGTTTAAACAAGCTTGTTGGCTGATTACGATTTCATTTTAAGCACTGAAAAAGTACTCATAAATAACTTTAATTTTCGTTTAGCCTTCTGGTAAAATATTTACTTAAAGCACAGGCGACGAGTGAAAAATCTTCCTCGCAGACTTAAAGATCAGTCCGTAACTTCGTTCGGAGCATTCCAAAAAAAAAAGAAACCCACGAGGCCAGCTTGGTATTGAGCTGCCATCTTACCTTAAGACAGACTCCCTACAAAAGCAAATTTCGAACAAAACCGATCTTTATACCGCAATGTAAGGCTGACCGTTCGGAGATGAAATTTAAGAAAGAAGTGATAAATCTGAACATGATTTCAGTTTTCCACTTTGCGAAAAATTTTCTGGGGAAATAAAAACGACGTATCTGATTCTAAGTCGTCATGACAGTCAATAAAAATCTTATTTTACGGATATAGATTTACGTCGTTCCAAACGTCTTACACAGTGCATTTCGGTATATTAGAAATAATACTGGTGAAAAAAAAATGCTGCCGTGAAATATAATCTTCAAAACAAATAAAGAAGACCTTCAATGATTTCATCAAAAGATGTATTTGATGTCAGAAAGATAAAAATCTTCGTCGGTGAAAAAGCTGATGAGAATTAAACATTGAAATTGTACAACTGGAAAAGTGAAGCAAATACATAATTGAATATCGAGTGACTGAGGGTAAATTTATCTCCTACCTGACAGCTATTGTCTCCAGCCTTTCGCCCCAAAGACAGAAAATCTATGAATTTTCCGGCAGCGATTTTAGTTTCCTGGCTACTTTAATAGCTTTAGTCCTTTTTAATTATACCTTATTTGGCGTTTTTTTCTAATTTATCTTTTAACGCGTTTTGATTTCCCGCCATGCCAGCAGCGCATCTTCCCCTGTGGGAGGGGGATAGGAATCTCACATGAATACGACTGGGGTGGTCGTCGACAAATTAATTAGAATTTAGCCTCTAAAGGGGTCCATTTAGGGCGTGGCTCAAACAGACAACATAAACGCTTTAGTGGTTTTCGTTGCACAAAAGACATTGGAATCACATTCTGTTTTAAACAGAGTACGACGGCTTGATTGGTTTTTGATTTGTTCTTTAATTCTTTACGCAAAACATTACGCGATACCTGTGTGGGGAAAATACTGGGGACTCTCCGTCATAAACACCCTAAGTGAGACCAAAATCTACAGTACACATCCTAATGCGAGAAGAGGTACATCCCTGCCATGTTTTTTTACATGGGAATCCCCACTGGCGGATTTCACGATATCAGGAAATGAAAATTATGACCCCAAAAGGTTTTTTAGCTTTAGGACTACAGCAACTCTCAAAACATGCTGAGAACAGGTGAAAAATGTTCTTAATAAATGAGATTTCCCAGAGGAAAAAAACGGCTGCGATTGACAACCACATAGATCGCTAAAAGATTAGGTGAAACCACGCTCGAATGACCACAAAGACTGCCCATACCATGTGTGACTTCAAAATCCTTGAACAGTTAATTAGTTGACTGTGTTGATGAATATCTCTCTAAGCAGAATTTAAATTTGATTATATTTGAATTTGAATTTGATGGGAAAGCAGTTTATTAGAAGGCAGTATGTATAGTTGGAAAACACATTTTAAAGAAATGTCTGCCTTTCGCCAGCTATGAGTAGGTTCGAATCAACAAATTTAAGGAAAACAATTTTACTACAACAACAAGCGTTTGAAAAACTCTCTCTCGATGGTCCAACGATGTGAAATGCATTTTATTGTGTGGGCAATAACGAAGAAAAGAAGATAAGGGATGCCTTTTTTCTACTATCACTACGTCGATGCTCTTAGCTGTAGGGGCAGAAAACCCGCGCGATATGCCATCTCGCTCTGAATTCTAACACGACAGTACAAACATTTCACTGCTAAAAACATGCGTTTTCAGCTCTCTTCGAAATAGCAATTTTTCCGTCAAAATTTTGAACGTCCAAAGGACGTCTTTGCTCGCTTGCATTGGCCTAGCCTGTGTACAGACGTCCCCCCTCCCTCAGGAAAGATCGGAGGGGAGACGTCTGTACACAGGCTAGCATTGGCCTGAAACTCTCGTACATAACACCATCAGAAATTTAGTTGCGGAGAGTGTATACGTTGTGGTTCAATTTTTTCCTCGGTTTGAATTTTATTTTCCTTTGTTTAAAACTCATCATCATACATTACCATACCTCAAAACAAAGGAAAATAAAATTTAAACCAGGGATAAAATTGAACCACATCATATACGTCCACCACCGCGTCGACTATCTCCCCAACCTGGTCTCATTGAGCAGTAGTTTCCCGTAGTACTAGTATGATGCTGTAGAAGGTTTAAATAGTCCGTATTTAATTAAGTAGAAGCTACTAAACAGCCTCCGATCCTCCGCAGACTACTCTGGGTTTCCTGTGCCTCGTTCTGGCGTCCAGGCAACGAGAAAACGAGAGGACCCTGGAGACGAGGTTGTGTTTCTTTTTCCTTCCCAGTTCCCCTCTTTCCGCCACAGGAAGCCAGAGAAGCCTGCGGAGAAGGCTGAAAAGCTACTTTACCACGCACGTGAAGCTTAGTTATTTTTAGTCACAGCTTTTGGCAACACAATACTTGGTAAACACGTGTATGGGACCGATTCTCCTCTGTGAAGGAGCTAGATATAGCGGTAGTTCTGCCGGTTTAGCGTGATCATTTCTAGATGTAAATGCCAGTACCTGTTTCAACCACGGCTACATTCAGCTTATATTCTCTGGACTTAGGAACTGCGCAATAATTATCAGGAGGGGGCTGTAAAACCAGACTGGGGCACTATGTAAAATCATAGCATAAAGGAGGCGGGGCAACATGAGCGTGAGAAAACAGCCGACATTTGGCGACGCTACCACTGGGACGTCTGAGAAACGAGCGCAGAAATTCCATGCTGGTGACGCGTCACTACCCAGATCTGGGTAGTGCTTCTGATTGGTCGTGCTTCGTGGGAAATATTTATTTCAACCAATCAGAAGCACTAACCAGATTTGGGTAGTGACGCGTCATCAGTATGGAATTTCTGCGCTCGTTTCTCTGACGTCATTTCTCAGGGAAACTAACGGTGGCGTCGCCAAATGTCGGCTATGGCAACATGCAAGATTCTCTTTCAAGAAGGGACGGTACAGCCGCGTCTTCACGCGCTTCTTTTTTCGCATGGCAGAGGCGAGCGCGAAACGCGAGTGACTGGTGATGAACCACAAGGGACCATGGGAAGGGTACAGACGGCGGGCGAAGCGACGTCTCGCCCGTTGTCTCCTTCCCGCCTTCCCTTGCGCGCACATCGAAAGAGAGACGTCTGGGTACGAGGCAGGGGGTGGTATGTAATTGTTGGTGGGCAAGCTTTCTTTAAATAATTAGTACCAAAGCCATGAACAATTCTGGTTACATGACATTTAAGTTTATTTATATAACAGAATAGGGGTGTATCCAGAATCTCAAGTAGGGGGACTGCCTTTATAAGAAAGAAGTAATTGACAGATGCAGTGTCCCCCTTAAAAGTAACTACTATTCACTGATATAAAGACATTTTCAGGCAGGGAGTGTCAAGTGAACCTCAGCAGACGTGACGATTTTGCGACTAGGGTCATACGAGGATGCTTCCTGTAAATAGCCTCGTAGTTCAACTCAGTTTATTCAGCCATTACTACAAAAGTATGTGGTCAGGAAAAATACCGCACGTGATATATTACACGTTACGTCATCAACATGCGTGACGTAGAGAAATCGTTGCGTTACATAATAATCATACGAGATTAGGTACTGTTACACTTCCCCTGTTCCACCACATGTCAAACATGACGCCAAAAGAGGTTGAAGAACATTGCTCTTCATATGATACTTGGGGAGTACTTGGAAGTTGGTTCAAGGGGACTGAGGGTCAGATCGCACTCATAATGAACTTGAATGCCAAAAAAACGGCTTCATTTTGTTTTCTCTGTTCTCCAAAAAAGTGGCAAATCTTACAATCTCTCTGCAAAGTCTTTTGAGAGTTGCTGAAAGAGTTCTGTACAACGCCAAGAGGTAGTGGCTTAAAAGGCCCAAAAATCCCAGGGGGGGACTCCGCATATGGAAGGGGTGGGGATGCTCGACGGAAATTTTGAATTAAACCCCTAAGGGAGACCGATCTGGGCGTGGCCCAAGCTTGTTTTGACCCCTAAAAGAGACCATGTTAAAACACAGACAATATATATTTTTTCTATTTTTTCACGTGTAACCCTAAACGAGACCTTCACGGCTAAATATGATGGCGTTTTGCCCAGAACACCCTAAGTGAGACCAAAATCCGAAATTAACACCCCTAAGCGAGACGACGAGCATCCCCACCCCTTTCATATGCGGAGTCCCTTCCCCGGGCCAAAAATGAGCAGCTCAATGAAACAAACTGCTAAACATTTACTGAAACGACAAGCGCCACGTAAGTTCGCTGACGGGAAAACAGTTAAGGCTGTAACTGAAGCAGCACCGATAACAAGTCCGTGGAGGAAAAGAGGGACTAATAGCTCGCGTTCTGAGTTATGTTCGTGCTGGTCATGACTCAAGCAGACTCGGAATCGAAGGCAGTGACGCAAATGACTGAGAGCTGCAATTCAGCGATTCATAGGACTATTCATAAGATGATCCGCAGTCGGACTCTTCGGAATGTTCTGAAGTGGTCGGCTTTGCCAAAAGTAGTTTTGACGTAATGTTCCAGATGCAGTCGTCAAAAAACCGTGACATGACAAAAGGAGTGAATTCATGTTTCATGTGAATGAAGAGGAGAGGCGGGGGTTGTCATTACTTTTAAGTAACCAGGAGGGGAGTCAGAGCTAACTTGGCTTTGTTGACAGAGGGGCATTACGTAATATGACTCAGGCTATGCCAGGCTCGTTTTACAGCCTTCCCCTCCTGATGATTATTGCACAGACCCTCAATGACAGGGGTTTGGATAGGGTGTCATAGACGCTGGTGGGCTTATAGAAGGTACTATAGTCGTTAAGCTGTTAGGGGTGGTGGTTACGTTTTTTACACGCGTGCAAGGGCTTCTTCAAATTCCTAAGGGTCGGGGGCTTAGGATGCAACTTCGTCTCCAGGCAAGGGCAAGGTCCTGCTTTGGCGACTGGGTCCAGGAATGCTGGGTGCATTCTTATTAGACACGAATGGGTTTGAGAACGGCGCAAAATGATCTTTTGTAATGATCTGTTGGCGATAAAAAAGCTTTAAAATACGTTATCCATTTACGTTATTCCTTTTTTTCTGATCTCCAACTGTGTTATACTGTACGAATTTTAGATAAACCTTTGAGGTTTCGTTATCAAGGAAGGAATAGGACGAAAAGACGCCGGAGGGCTGTCGGAATTTTATTTTTGAAAAAGCCGGGTAAATTAGCTGATAATACGTAACAAAGACTGCCGCCCGACACTGCAAGGGCGCTATCGTCTTCGCCAGTCAAGTGGAGGGATAAAAAGTTAACTTATACAGTCCATACATGTTTTTTTTTTTTGGCTATTGGGAGTAACTAAATTTCAAAGGAAAGATAACGAGGTTTTCGGTCAAAATTGGGCTGTATCCGTATTCGCTGCCGCCATAACTGCAGTCGGGAGTACAAACAATGAAAGCCTTTTCTTTAATTTGAGAGATAAGATGTGAACAGCTCCTACGATTTGATCAGCCAACAATGGTTGAATCAAAATTTTACAGCATCGTCAATGGAAAATGTACTCTTCGCATCTTTTAGATTGGAGCAATGTGCCACTCACTCACAGATGATAATTATCACGAAACTATAGTTTATATGCAAATTTCAGGAAGACTAATGAAGAAACACTCACATGGACAACAAGAGAGAAAAATCACTTCAATTTTAGCTTAATGAAATAACCTAGCACCAAAATGGTTCTTCAAGCTTTCCCCTCAAAAAGCAGGCGGGCTTCTATAAACGCGACGTACCTTGATTCATCGATTTTCTTCCTACTCATCCTAAGTAAGGCAAGCGAGGCAAGTCTTAGTCTATTAGTGGATTTCAATGCTGAATTTTCAAGAAGTAAAACAAAAAAATATATGCAGGAGAAATAATTGGTTTGCTTGGATACTTTTTTTTAACAATGAGATTTCGATCAGCATTCGAGTTTTTCAGGTTGAGGCCGGAGAACCCCATACTGATTCTAATTGTGAACATGTTCGTGACCTGTGTTCTAACTTAAGTAGTTTTATCTTACCTGATCATGAACTTTGCGGACTCACTTTGAGATGAGGTTAAAGCTGTAAAGTCTAGCAAGTTGCCAAGTGAAATCCTCGGTCATCTACTGACTGCCAGTGTTTCGTGATCCGTACACATCAACTGCCTCAAGTTATTACTGTAATAGATAACAAATAGCCGGAGAACCTAATTATATTTCCACCATTAAGCTAAGCTTAAATGAGTCAATCACCTTTGTAAAACGTGTCACTTATAATGCCGCGGAAACTTTATTTTCCTTGCTGGATTAAGGTGTTCTGAAGCCGCTCGTGTATTTTCATGCCTTTCCCCACGCAAACCGTGATGTCATATCCTGTTATTTTGACGAGTGTTTTTGGAAGTAACTTTCGTTCTAGCAAAAACGTGACCTTATAGACTCTAAATACACTTCCTTACAAATGATGTAGTAAAGAGCCATAAGTTAAAATCGGTATATTAAACAGCGCAGCGGCATTTAGATAACTACAAGAGTGCCGAGTTTAAAGAGCAGTTAAAAGCCGCCTTCTTTGCCTCGAGGGATGAGGAAATCAGAGGGCCATGGATGACTTTCCAGGGTGCAATCGCAGAACGCGTTTTTATGCCTTCCTCAGCTTTAAACTCAACAGTTAAAAGTAGATATTATCACTGACATCAAATTTGAATCTCAGAAGTATTAAAAAATTACATTTATTTAGAGAAAATCTGAAATAAAATTTGTCAATGAATATCTTTATTATGTAATTTTATACAACGACTTTAGTTCGGCGCGTTTCGGTTTTTTGAATATTTTACATATTAAAGTTCCAAAGTTGTTTTTGAACTTCTTAAGTTATCATGTGCTTTGTTGAATTGGTGATCTACTCACGGACATTTAAAAGAATGTACGCCATGGGCGTACGGAACACGAATTATCAGGATATGTTTTCAATTCAAGGAAGCGTTTTTGAAAAACGAGCGGGAGGATCGATCCCTTTTACTTCCCTTTGCTTTTAGCGCAGGGGTATTAGCATATGCAAACTCATCATCTCGCAAAAAATAAAATTTGAAACAAGCCGGATAAATTCAACCAAAACATGGTTCTTAGAAGGGAAATCTGGTTAAGATAAGAACATTTGGTGTACTTAAAACAGTGAATACACATCACGGAAACAATCTCGTGTTGATACCTGGGATAGGTCGCCTGTGTGGCAAAGCGGAACAACTGTCATAATTCATTTATTGAAAGTCCCCGTTTGACTTCGAAGGGAAGAGAGAGATTAGCAGTCATCACTGCGGGTTGTCGATACTTGTCCTCCCGAAGTCACGAAAAGAAAGAGTGCACAAACATAAATCAATGAGTTCAGTCGCTAGATCTCCAACAAAGAACTAGATCACTGAAAAAGGACCATCGATAAACCGGTCATGAAACACGGAACATTCTAAAACATAAACAAATTAATAATTTTTCTAAAAATAAATAAATAAAAATAGAAAAAAATTTTTAAATAAAGTATAAAAATAAACTGGTATCATCTCCGAATATATACATGGAAGTAATTAGCTGGGCAAGAGAGAGGGTGTTGGAAACACCCCCTGCAAATAATGACTGTCACGAGTGAGGCTTTTCCCACCCAGTAACCCCTGACGATTGTTCGGCATGAGATAACTCATTTGGCGGCATGATCTAATTGACACCCCTTCTTAAATATACGCCTCTTTTGTTTAATAAATGCCCCCCTACTATGTTAGAGTGATTTTACTTGAACCGTGAAACAGATACTAACAAATAGTGCAAAATAGCGGGAGGTAAACAAAAGAAGACAATGGAATTAGTTCATAATAGTGCGTAGTATTCTACTACCCCCCGGGGGGGTGCTTTCAGAAAAAATGGGTGGGGGTGTGCGGCACGCTTACTGAAACCCTTACACTATTTCGAACCAAAATCTGTGATTTTCCCTACCCTATTTCAGACCTGACCCTTAAATCAATACGCCTGACAAGCTGTTACTGCACGTACACGGTTGGCGTAAACATTAAAAGAGAAATAGTCTTATCGCCTAATTATGAAGAAGTAGCTTTTAAAAAAACTCACCCAATTCAAGACTAGAGTTCACAAACCATACCCTAATTCAGACCAAAATGGTCAAAATTGATACCCTATTTCAGACCAAAACG